CCTCATTCTCCGTCGTCCCCTTCTTCTCTTGCCCTCCATCTTTCCCAGCATCAGGCTCTTCTCCAGTGAGTCCTTCCTTCTCATTAGGTGGCCAAAGTCCTTGAGTTTCAACTTCAGGATCTGGCCTTCTAAAGAGCAGTCGGGGTTGATCTCCTGTAGGACTGACCGGTTTGATCACCTTGCAGTCCAGTCTACAGTCTGCAGTCCAGTCCAGGTCTACAGTAGGATTATGCCTTCCCTCCACCCCACCCCATCTCTACTCACGTCTCTCGCACACATATACACAGAAGTATTTAGACCAGCAATTGGCCTCGCTCTGGAGCTTCTCCTGTGTAGTATCATTGGGTTGGAAGTTCTAGGAACTCAGGAATCCATTTCCATTATGGCATGGTGAGCAGTGATTCCAAGCGAGTTATCATATCAACAGTATCCAGAATTGTAGAGGTCTGTGGAGATTCTCAGTCCTCCTCGTCATGGTTGTCCCAAAGGTGCTTTTTCAGAAGGCAACTGGACTTTCCTGTTTTTCTTTGAAGAGGTTTCACTTCTCCTCCAAGAAGCTTCTTCAGTTCTGACTGGATGGTGGGGAACGGAAGGATTTATACTCCTTGCAGACAGCTGGTCGTTTGCCTTCTTTTGGAGAGTCCTTAAGGCCACTTGGAGGTTTATCTGTGTCCTAATGTGTCACGGATAAACCTCCAGGTGACCTCAACGACTCACTAAAAGGAGGCAAATGACCAGCTGTCTGGAAGGAGTATAAATCCTTCCATTCCCCACCATCCAGTCAGAGCTGAAGAAGCTTCTCGGAGGAGAAGCGAGACCTCTTCAAAGAGAAAAAAGGAAGTCCCGTTGCCTCCTGAAAAAGCACTTTTGGGACAAAATTATAGAGAGGAATATTTCTCAGGGTTGAAATGAGGGGTCCTTGGTGCTCTCTCTGAGCTGAGCTGGGTTTTTTTTTCCCCAGACATTTCATTACCAAAATAGGTAACATCATCGGTTGGAGGGGGGGGGAATGTTACGTATGTTGGTAATGAAACATCTACAGGAAAACAACCAAGCTCAGAGAGCACCAAGGATTCCCTCAGCATCCAAATTCAAAGCTGGTTTTAAATCTTTAACCCAGCCCTCTCTCAGGCAGCTGATGACCAGGAAATCCTTTGAAGATTAATTGTCGCCAACTCTAAACACTCTAGCCAAGTCCAAGATACTACTAGGGTTCAAAGATTTCCTGTTCGTGATTCGCAAGATTATTCTCTAGAGTTACCTTTTTTCTCGAGTTTGGCAAATAGAAGAATTCCCAGATTAGATCAAAGCATGTCCTCAACTTACAACGATTTGTTTACTGGCCGTCCGATGTAACAACAGCACTAAAAATAATGACTTAGGACCGTTTTTCACCCTTACGACCGTAGAGGCCTCCCCAGGATCATGCCATCAAAATTCAGACCCTTGGCCACTGACTCAGATTTATGACGGTCGTAGTGTCCCGGGGTCACGTGATGATCCCCTTTTGGGACCTCCCAACAAGCAAAGTCCAAGCCAGATTCACTTGACAACCGTGTTCCTCACAACTGTTTCATTGAACAGCGGTGTCACGAAAGGTTGTGAAATGGGGCAAAGCTCAGCCACAGAAACGTTGGACTCTGTACGTCGAGGGCCTTGTGTTTGTGATCCCCAAAAAATATTTCCATTTCTTTCGACGTGCAGAAACGATCCGTTAGTGAGCTCTCTGCTCCCTCAGCACCCATCCGGCGGTATTTTAGCTGTAGAGTTTACAGATTTCATCATTCTACTGCTAGCAGGTCTGTTGGCTGAATGTTCCGGAAGTGGTAGACCTGACAAAATGTTGACATCTGGGTTTGTTCGGGTTAGATGAATGTGGGCGTTGCTATGTGTTCCTCCTTACTTCCCTCTCTCTCTCTCTCTCTCTCTCTCTCTGGCTTCTAGCCTGCAGATATGTGGCGGCAAAAATCAGGATGTGCTGCTGCTTCTGCTGTGACGATGATAGGGCAAAATCAGAATCTTTAACTCAAGGAAGAGGTAAGGCAAAGTGCCCAATCTCTACTGGGGGGGGGAGAATAAAAGGATATATAATCAGTGCTGAGTCAAATGGGTCCTCCAGTTTCATTAAAAAAAAACCCTTCCTTCATTCCTCCCTCCTCCCTTCCTCTTTTCATCTCATTCCTCCATCCCTCCCTCCTTCTTCCATCCCTCCCTCTTCCTCCCTTCCCATTTTTTCCTCCCTCCCTCCCCATCCCTCCCTCTCCCTCCTTCCCTTTTTTCCCCATCTTATTCCTCCCTTCCTTCCTCCCTCCTTCTCTTCTCATTCCTCCCTCCCTCCCTCTTCTCTTCCCATCTTATTCCTCCCTTCCTTCCTCCCTCCCTCCTTCTCTTCCCATCTCATTCCTCCCTCCCTCCCTCCTTTTCTCTTCTCATTCCTCCCTCCCTCCCTTTCTCTTCCCATTCCTCCCTCCCTCCCTCCCTTTCTTTTCCCATCTCATTCCTCCCTACCTCCTTCCTCTCCCACTCACACCTCAGCTCACAAAGACCTAGACCATTTCAGGCAAATGGCTGTCCAGTCTCTTCTTAAAAACTTCCAGTGATGGAGCACTCACAACTTCTGGAAGCAAGGCGTTCCAATGGTGAATTGTTCTCACTGGCAGGAAATTTTCCCTTAGTTCTAGGTTTTCCAACTCTCCGTATTCTAAATAGACTATTATCCTTCCTAAAATGTTATTTTCCTTTCTTGACCCATGCAGGTTTCCCTGCAGGCGGATGACAAAAATCTCGGATGCCGGAGACACCCCCCCAATGCGGCAGTTCCATCATGGAGCAACCTAAGGGGACATGAGGCAGATAAAGGACCACGTTCACGGATCCTCTGGAACGGTGGCTGGTCCTCCTTTACCGATTTGGCAAGATGCAAAATTCTTTCATCCATCTACCTGGCCGTATCCAGACAACTCATGAAAACAGGTTTATAAACTCCCCTCGGAGCGGAGGTGAACGTGTTTGATTATCCCGTGTCTGGGAGACCAGTAGAGTCAACCTTTGAAATGACCAAGCGTTTGAAATTATATCAAAAAGGAAATATAATTTGTTGAATAAAATGTAGTTGATTTGACTCGGTTTGTCTTTCTTTGGCCAGAGACGGTGGCGGCTACGTGAAAGAGGGAGTGTGGGGGGGCACCAAAGGATTGATAAAATGGTTTGCCCCTCTTGGACAGACCACGCCCAAGTTGCCGGAAATGAAATTCCATCTGCAACCTGGACCATATTTGGGGCTGAGATGATTAGCTGGGTCAGTCTCTTGCAGTAAAGACACTAGGCAGCCCAGATGTGTCCTTCCTTCCTTCCTTCCTCCCTCCCTTTTTCTTATCTATTCTCTTTCCCCTTCCTTCCACCATTCCTGTCTTCCTTCCTCCCTCCCTCCTTCTCATCTATTCTTTCCCCTTCCACCTTCCTTCCACCATTCCTTCCTTCCTCCCTTCCTTTCCTTCCCTCATTCCTCTCCTTTCCTTCATATCCCTTCCTTTCTTCCTTCTCATTCCTTCCTTCCCTCATTCCTGTCTCCTTCTTTCCTTCATATCCCTTCCTTTCTTCCTTCTCATTCCTGTCTTCCTTCCTTTCCTTCTCTCATTCGTGTCTCCTTCCTTCCTTCCTTCCTCCATATCTTCCTTCTTTCCTTCTCTCATTCCTCTCCCTTTCTCTTTTCTTTCTTTTTTCCTTTCCTTTCTTTCTTGTCCTTGACTAGAAAGCTAAGTGAGTTGTTAAGTGAGTTTTGTCCCATTTTATGACTTTTCTTGCCACCGTCATTAAGCCAATCACTGCAGTTCTTAAGTGAATCACATGGTCAATAAATGAATCTGGTTTCCCTCCCTGACATTGCTTGTCGGAAGCCGGCTCGGAAGTTATCCACGGTGGTCACGTGACCCCGGAGCAGTACAACAGTCATAAATACAAGCCAGTTGCCAAGTGTCAGGATTTTGATCATGTGACCGCGGAGATGCTGCCGCAGTCAGTGCCGTCGTAATTTTGAAGGGTCACCAAATGAATGCTTGTAAATTGAGGACGACTAGTAGTAGTACTTTGTTTTACCCCTCCCCCTGGCTCTGCCATTCCTTCTACTACAAGTGGTTAAAGGGGGGTGGGGGGGGAGAATTGGGAAATTGTCTTATATAGAAAGAAGAGTTATCCAAGGTAAATCCCCCAGAACTTGCATGTGACTCCGGGACACAATGAGACAGCATGACTTAGCACATTTAGAGTGGGGCCAGTGGGAATGTGGTTTAGGAATAACCCTTTCCCAGAATATGATTCATTGGTTTTATGAATCGCTCCACGTATCTCCGAGGTAAGCTGATCTCAGAGGTTTCTGCTTTGGCGCAGGCGCCGAAGATCTAAACATCTCTGGAGTTCAGTTCATAACATTGTGGCTTGAGTTTCCAGAATCCAGCTAGAAAAGATGTTTCATTTGCAGGGGAATCACCCCCTCCTTTCTTTCTTTTTCTTTCTTTCTTTCTTTCTTTCTTTCTTTCTTTTTCTTTCTTTCTTTCCTTCCTTCCTTCTACTCATTCCCTCCTTTCTTCCTTCTCTTATCTTCTACTTCTTTCTTTTTCTTTCCTTCCTTCCTTCTTCTCATTCCCTCCTTCCTTCCTTCTACAGTACTTTGTCTTTCTTCCTTCCTTCCTTCCTTCCTTCTCTTTCCTTCTACTTGTCTTTCTTTCCTTCCTTCCTTCCTTCTTTCATTCTACTTTATCCTTTCTTTCTTTCTCTCTCTCCTTCTTCCTTCTTTCCTTCTACTGTCCTTCTTTCTTTCTTTGTACTTCTTTCTTTTTCTTTCTTTCTTTCTCCTTTCTTCCTTCCTTCTCTTTCCTTCTGTTTTGTCCTCATTTTTTCTTTTTCTTTCTTTCTTTTTCTTTCCCTCTCTCTCTTCTCTCTCTCTCTCTCTCTCTCTCTCTCTTTTCTTTTCTTTCTTTCATTGATATGGCTGCCACCTCATCCTCACAACTCTGGGCAGCCACCAATGCATGAAGGTCCAATCCAGAGACCAGCAAAACAGTATATCACGTGGCGAAACCCTTCTTATCAGTCAGAGACAGATCCTGACCCAACTATAATATAATCTCTCCTTAGAAGAAGGTGCCAACATTCCCAAGAATATTTTTTTAGACCTAGTTCTTTTGTGTGCAGAACTATGAGCCAGGGATGGTGGCAGCTACGTAACAGAGGGAGTGTGGAAGGCACAGCGTCCTTCGTTCCCTCAGACTTCTGATTCTTCAGTCTTTGATGATTGAGACCCTTGGCTGCTAACACCTCTGTTGGAATCCACAGCATTCTTTTCCCAGCATTGTAGTCTTTACAAACTGGCAGAGACAAGGCTTGTGGGCGAGAGTTGTGTGCTGCCCCATATGGACTTCTGGAAGCTGGCCACTGACAAAAAGCCTGACATAATAGCTGCTGAAAACCGTCAAGAGCTGCTGGGCCATTGTCTGAAACGAGGCAAGAAGTCAACATTAATGGAGGAAATCTACTCCGGTCTAGCAAAAAACCCTGGATGCTCATGCCAACACCCACAAATTAAAGAAACATCCATTCTTCGGCACAACCCCAAATCCAAGTTAAGTGCTTGCATCAAATCCTTTTATAGAGTTATAATCCTGGAATTATAGAAAAAAGTAAACAACGCGCCCTCCTCAAGTTTTCTCCTACTACCAACAGCTCAGAGAACTTCCAGAGTTGAAGGCCTCCAGCTGAAGAACTGCCATTAGTTCAACAATTTGACCTCACCCCTAATCCTTCTCTTCATTAAACTAGACATATCCAATTCCTGCAACCGCCTCCAGTCCCCTAATCCTCTTTGTTGCTCTTTTCTGCGCTCTTTCCAAGAGTCTCAACATCATTTTTATATCTTGGTGACCAAATTCCGTAAGTCAGGTCAAGCATTATTTATTCCAATGTCCTTTTGGTTCCAGCTAACTGCTTGCCTGCTTGAAATTAACAACAACAACAATAATAATAATAATAAAAGTTGGAAGGGACCTTGGAGGTCATCGAGTCCAACCCCCTGCTCAGGCAGGAAACCCTACACCATTTCAGACAAATGGCTGTCCAGTCTCTTCTTCAAGACTTCCAGTGTTGGAGCATTCACAGCTTCTGGAGGCAGGTTGTTCCACTGGTTAACTGTTCTAACTGTCAGGAAGTTTCTCCTTAGTTCTAGGTTGCTTCTCTCCTTGATTAGTTTCCATCCGTTGCTTCTCGTCCTGCCTTCAGGCACTTTGGAGAATAGCTTGACTCCCTCTTCTTTGGGGCAGCCCCTGAGATATTGGAACTGCTTTTTTCTTATTTTTATTGCATTAGTTTTATTATTTATATAGCTTAGGTTTTATATATATCTTTTGGCTGAGTGTTGTGCATCAGTCATGCTCCCTTTGGGATAAGGGAGGGTTTGAAGTAATATAAAACAAAAGACATTTTCATTCCAGCTGAGTCATGCAGCTCAGGGGTTTTTTTCAAACCAATTGCTCACACAAAATTCTGGGCAACAGGTCAACATGCTTTCACTGAAAGCTACCCCTTCCACGGTGACTCTCAATGCATCAGTTTGAGTTTGAGCATTGCAGGTTAACGCTATAACGGAAATAAAGTATTTCCTCCAGGCACGCCATCGCAATAAATACAGGTTCGTCCTCAACTTACAACGGTTCGGTTAGGGACCGTTACAACATTACAGTGGCATTGAAAAGAAGTGACGTAGGACACTTTCACACTTACAACCGCAGCACATCAAAGTTCAGACGCTTGGCAACTGTTTCCTATTCATGACCGTTGCCGTGTCCCGGGGTCATGAGGAAGAACCAATAAAGGAGAATCTTTGTAGCTCAGGGTTGAAATGAGGGGTCTTTGGTGCTCTCTGAGCTGGGTGGTTTTCTTGTAGATGTTTCATGACCCATCTAAGTAGCAGAATGGAGGAGGAGGAGGAGGAGGAGGAGGAAGACGACGACGACGACGACGACGACGATTGTGGGTTCCTTGGTGCTCTCTGAGCTGGGTGGTTTTCTTGCAGATGTTTCATGACCCCAACAAGTGAACATCATCAGTACTACCCAAACTAGGTAACATCATCGCTAGCACTAGGACTTCCAGGGAAGAAATGGTGAACTGAAGACAGGTCTACTAAAAGTAGGATGAAGAGCTGGGAAGAATGAAGAGCTGGAGAGTATATTGGCTCTTTGTAATTCCTCTCCAAACAAGGAAAGGACTTGGGATTGCCCACAACGGCTCCAGACAATCACTTCTTGTGAGGAGATTGCAAGAAGCTTAGAGATCTGGGAGATGAAGTAATAGCCATCTTGTTCAAACCATGGCTGATGGCACTTGGTTCAGAGACTTCTTTTTCTAACCTAGCACTGATGATGTTGCCTACTTTGTTAATGAAACGTCTGCAAGAAAACAACTCAGCTCAGAGGCCACCAAGGACCTCACAGTCCTCCTTCTCCTCCTTCTCCCTGCAAAACCCACTCCCTTCTAGCACCGATGATGTTATCTAGTTGGGTCATGAAACGTCTGCAAGGAAACAACCAGGCTCAGAGAGCACCAAGGACCCCACAGTCCTCCTCCTCCTGTAGAGGATCCAAGACTGAGGAAGACACAGATCTCCTCTAGGGGTGAGAAGGAAGTTTTATTCTAGTGTGGAAGGCTGCTTCTTGTCCAACCATTTTGCTGGTCTTCCAAGCAAAAGACGAAGGGAAGAGAGAGAGAAAAAACGAAAGACATCCTTACCTCCGGAGCTCTGTCTGAGACAAGATGGAGGAATTCTCGGTGCGCCACCGAGTTCTGATTGCCCTCCTTTGTCTCTGGCAACAGCGAAGTGTCTTCCAAAGAGTCGTTGGGTTGGTCTTCCCAACTTGGCGAGAGAGTTGTCTCCACCATGATGCTGACGTGCTCCAGGTTGCGCTTCAGAGCAGACTGGTAAAAATGACAGTGACCCAGAGAAGACAATATGAGAGGTAGCAAGTCCAAAGCCTTGGCTCAGCAGAACCCTTGAGTGTCTCTTTCCAGATTTTCTTTCTCTTGGGTGTGTGGGTGGGTGGGTGTGGGTGTAGCTTTGAGTCAGGGTTGATTCCTGGTGACAGCCTGGGACGAATCCTTGCACTTTTCTTAGCAAGTTTGTCAGAAGTGTTTTGCTATGAACTTCTTCTTAGGATTGAGAAGAAGGCACTTGCCCAAGGTCACCTAGAAGATTTTGTGACTAGGACTGGATTAGAACTGAACATTTTCTAGCTGTGTGCCTTTGACCACTACACCACGTTTAGTCTACCTAGTCAGTCTCAAAGGTGTGACAAAGATATGGAGACTTCGGGATCAGAGGCAGTGTGGTGTTGGGACTGAAGCATGAGAAGAGGACTTCAAATGTTCTTCTTTTCATGTTTTGAACTTTCTTGAAGTTTCAGGATACATATTATAGGAAGGAGAATGTTAGGCTTTTCATCCGTGGCAAGAGCACTTAGACTTATATATTCTATATATATATTTACATTCTCCTTCCTTTTACCAACCTCGGAAGGATGGGAGGCCGAGTCAATCTTGAGCCGCTCAGGATCGAACTCCTGGCAGTGGGCAACCTGCAATACTGCATTCTAACCACTGCGCCACCACAGCTCCTAACGCAACATCCGATCAGTTACACCAATAGCAATAGCACTTGGGCTTATATACCGCTTCACAGCCCTCTCTAAGCGGTTTACAGAGTCAGCATATTGCCCCCCAACAATCTGAGTCCTCCTTTTACCGACCTCGGAAGGATGGAAGGCAGGGTTAACCTTGAGCCGGTCAGGATCGAACTCCTGACAGTGGGCAGAGTCAGCCTGCAATACTGCATTCTAACCACTGCGCCGCCACGGCTCTTCAGCCAGGCATCCCACTGTTATTGATTTATCTGACCGATTTATATAGCACCCAGCTTACAAATCAGTGGCCATGAGTAGTGCACAACACAATTAACTGGGCAGTGATGCCTTTCAAGGGTCCTCTTTTTTTCGACTCTGCACTTTAGGGACTTGAAGGGAAGGAGCAGTTGAATAACTTACCTCCTGACTTCTTTTCAGCGTGAGCAGAGAGTCCGTCAAAGACTGAAGGCAGGGTCCAACGTCGAAATGAACAAACCACAACTGAAGGAGAGGAGAAAGGAGGGAGGTAAAGAAGAAACAAGAAAATTTGCTACCTCTGCCATGATTGGAACCTTTCTACATTTACTTGCATTTATCAGATGAAATGCTACACCCTTTGTGTACAGAAGTCACACAGGGAGCCAGAACTTTACATCTGCACACAACCCTCCAAAGCCTGATGTCTTATCTTCAGAAGCTGGAAAGCTTGTGGCGAAATTATAATGTTTCATGGGACAGATGTAGAGAAATGACTTGTCTCCAGATGTTGTGGGTGCTTCAACGCTGGGCGTTTTCAGGAAGAGACTGGGCAGTCATTTGCCTGAAATGGTATAGTTTCCTGCTTGAGTAGGGGGATTGGACTAGAAGACCTCCAAGGTCCCTTCCAGCTCTGCTATTCTGTTATTCTGTTAATCTCATTTTAATGTATGCTGATTAGTGTACATTTAAAGTGACAATAATTATTCTATTCTATTCTATTCTATTCTATTCTATTCTATTCTATTCTATTCTATTCTATTCTATATTCTGTTCCATTCCATCTTCTCTTCTCTTCTCTTCTCTTCTCTTCTCTTCTCTTCTCTTCTCTTCCCGTCCAGTCCAGTCCAGTCCAGTCCAGTCCAGTCCAGTCTATTTCTATTCCATATTCTAGTCCAGTGGTTCTCAACCTGTGGGCCGGGACCCCATTTGGGGTCGATCGACCATTTCACAGGGGTCGCCAAGCAAGGCTGTCCGCCATTTTTTTTGTCCGCCATTTTTTCCCCCTTTTCCGGCGGGTGCCTTACTTCCCTTGGGCTGGGCCAGCTGGTGGTCGGCCTGCTCCGTCTCTGCCGCTTGCCAGCTATGCCTCGGCCGGCGCAGGGGGCGGAACCACACATGCGCGGCACTCCCGGGCAGGGAAAGTCCTCGACTTACGACCGGTTGGGTAGTCCTCAACTTACGACCAGTTTAGTACTCGACTTATGACCGGTTTAGTCCTCGACTTACGACCAATTGGGGTCGCGGCATTAAAAAGGTTGAGAACCACTGTTCTAGTCTATTCCTATTCTATTCTATTCTATTCTATATTCTGTTCCATTCCATCTTCTCTTCTCTTCCATTCCATTCTATTTCTATTCCATATTCTATTCCATATTCTATTCTATTCTATTCTATTCTATTCTATTCTCTCCCCTTCAGAAAAACATACCTGTGGGACAGCACAATTCTTGTCCGAAATATTTGTCATCCCTACCAGGAAATCAAATTTCATGAAGGCTTCGTTGGCAGCCATTAGCCTCATATCTGTATTCACATTCATCTGGCGAAAGGGAAGGAAAAAAAAGAAGACAAGAAGAATTGAACTGTGGCTACAAAAAAAATCAGGATTTTAAGAGATGGAAGGCGCTTGAAGGACATCCATCTTGGGGAATGAACAGGGCTGCAACCTGCTGACCGGATGGCCATTCAGTTTCTACCTCAAAACAAAACCCTTCATTTCCAAATTGCGACTTTGGAAATCATATACCCAGGTAGTCCTTGAATTACGTCCAGAACTGAGCCCCAAAATTTATGTTGCTAAGTGAATTTTGCCCCATTTTACCACTGTTGTTACGCGAACCACGGCCGTTAAGTTGTGAAATGATCCTGCCTCCCCCCTGGACTTTTTGCTTGTCCGAAGGTTGCAGAAAGGGGATCACACGATCCCGGGACACTGCAACCGTCATAACTAGGAGTCAGTTGCCCGGGGTTTTGATCACGTGATCAGGGGAATTCTGCAATGGTCGTAAGTGTGTGAAAAATGGTCGTTAAGTCGCTTTTTTTCCAGTATTGCTGTAACTTTGAAGGGTCCCTAAATTAACTCTTGTGAGCTGAGAGGCAACCGATATTTCAACCTTGATCAAACTGGTCAAAGTCTCCCAAATTTATGCTGGTCTTTGGCCATCGTAAAGATCTGGTCTCATCTGAAGTCTACACCCCTGACAAGCCAACCTCTTAGCCAAGAGAGAAAATAAATAATGGATTTGGGAGGGGTGACAGTGCAATTATTGAGTCAGCTCCACAGGCTCCTGCAAAAGTTGCTATTTAATGTTTCATTAGGCAGAAGGGAAAACTGTCAAAAGCACGGGGGGAGCCGTCCAACGACCTCAGGTTTTAATTACCTTTAATTTGAAATCGGTTTCAATGACAGCCCGGCTGAACCAAGAGTACATTTGTAGGCAAGGAAGAAAGCCTGCTGAAATTTGGGGAGGAGGATCCGGGCTCCCATAAAAACCAGGATTCGGAAGTCAAATGCGTTTTGTGACCTCTCCAGACGGGCCAATCCTGTCTTAGCCGTTTGGATAAATGTCCCCGCTTTTGACCCGCATTTGTGGGAGCCGTAAACAAGCAAGCAAGAAACAAACACCCTAACAAAAGAACAAAAGCAATCTCTGAGCTTGGTTGATTTCTTGCAGATGTTTCATGATCCAACTAGGTAACGTCATCAGTGCTGGAAGAGAATGGGGTTTTCAGGGAGGAGGAGGAGGAGGAGGAGGGCTGCTTGGGGTCCTTGGGGTCCTTTGAGCTTGATTGATATCTTGCAGACGTTTCATGACCCAACTAGGTATCGTCATCACTGCTGGAAGAGAATGGGGTTTTCAGGGAGGAGGAGGAGGAGGAGGAGGAGGAGGAAAGCTACTGTGGGGTCCTTGGTGCTCTCTGAGCTGGGTTGTTTTCTTGCCCACATTTCATGACCCAACTAGGTAGCATCATCAGTGCTAGAAGGGGAGGAGGAGGAGGAGGAGGAGGAGGACAAGGAGGAGGAGGAGGAGGAGGAGGAGGATTAATGTAGGCTCCTTAGGCTCTCTGAGCTTGGTTCTTTTCTTGAAGACATTTTATTACCCAATGGGGGAACATCATCGTTGCTACAGTCCACTGAACACTGATGAAGTTACCTAGCTCTACAAAGAAACGTCTGCAAGGAAACCACCAAGGCCAAGGACCCCATAGTCCAAGAAATAGCGATTTCAACCCCAGGCAAATTATTTTTCCATGCCTTTACGAGTTGTTCCAGCCGAGGAGCTAAAGAGAATTACAGTCACAAGATAGGCAGAAGAAATTAAAAGCCCAAAGCAAAACATGATTCATGCATGACTGATGCATGATCAATGGGTAATCAGAACAAAATGCTCATATCATCTTCCAAGATAAAAGGAAGTCTCTCCTCAGGCATTTCACACACGGGACCCCTGCCAAACCTCTTAGTCAGTGGATAAAAGTTGATCCTTTTCAGCTGTTGCTCGTCTAATCCCTCCAACAGAGGGGAGCCGTCCAGAATAGCAAAAATAGCCACAGAGGATAGTTAAAGAAGAAAGAGAAGGAACAAAAAAACCCACATTCACAAGAAATATTAATCCATCGCGGAAATGGTGACTGGTTACAATCCAGTCCTGTCTTACCTTTCCTTGATAGTGACGTATTATGACTTGGATGACCACAGCGATCACCAAGGCGACGAGAGTAACCAAAACAATGACTTTCCAAGACTGTCCGACTGAAAAAATTTGCAGGACAGAATAAAGGTTGATCCAGAGAGTCACGTAGACAACCTGAAAGGGGAGAGAGTTAAGTCAGCAGCAGAGGGGATAAAAAAATGCCAAATCAGGTCTAAATATTTTGGCTGACTGAGCAGCCAATGACAATAATAGTTATTTGCTTATTAATTGATCAAATTAAGGTACTGCCCATCTTCACGCTCAGAAATGGAGCCCAACATGGCTACTGCGGACATTAAGAGCGATTAAGAGCAATATTTATTCTTAAAAAGGTTAAAAGAACCTTTTATACTGCATTTTACTCAATGTCTGTAAGCCACCTAAAGTCACTTTTGGCGAGGTGAATGGCACACAAGTTCCATAAAGATAGATAGATAGATAGATAGATAGATAGATAGATAGATAGATAGATAGATAGATAGATAGATAGATAATAGATAGACAGATAGATAATAGATAAATAAATAGAGATTAGATAGATAGATAGATAGATAGATAGATAGATAGATAGATAGATAGATAGATAGATAGATAGATAGATAGATAGATAGATAGATAAGCTAGCTAGTTAGCTAGATAATTAGAGAATAGAGAATAGATATTATTATTATTATTATTATTAATTTAATTTATATACCGCCCTTCTCCCGCAGGACTCAGGGCGGTGCACAGCGTATTAAAAACAGTACAAATACAAAGCATAAAAAATACAAACCCCTGTAAAACCAGATTAAAAAACCGAATATTAGAAGCTGTGTCTCTATTTAAAATTATTTTTAAAATCACCCTAAATAAANGTCAGCGATGGAGTCAGCTGACTATGCCGAGGCGCCGGCAACCACAGCCACTCGGTCTTGGAAGGGTTGAGCCTGAGTCTGTTCCTCCCCATCCAGACCCGTACGGCCTCCAGGCAACGGGTCATCACGTCAAGGGCATCGTTGGGGTGGCCTGGGGTGGAAATGTACAGCTGCGTGTCATCAGCGTACTGATGGAAATAGATAATTAGAGATAGATAGAGAGAGATAGATAATGAGAGAGAGAGAGAGAGAGAGAGAGAGAGAGAGAGAGAGAGAGAGAGAGAGAGAGAGAGAGAGAGAGAGAGAGAGAGAGAGAGAGAGAGAGAGAGAGAGAGAGAGAGAGAGAGAGAGAGAGAGAGAGAGAGAGAGAGAGAGACAGAGACAGAGACAGAGACAGAGACAGAGAGAGACAGAGACAGAGACAGAGAGATTCAATAGATTTAGCCCACATGACCTATGGGGTTCTTACAGCAGCAATGGCCATCCTCAACCCTCTGGAGTTATACGATAGATACGTTCTCATTTTTGGCTCCAGCACAGCTCGTTGAATCAAAGTTTCCCACTGGTCTTCTGTCACCTGTTTGAATAACCATAACATCAGGCACGTGTCTGGAACCAGAGAAGCAGATTTGGACTACAAGAGGAAATGTACTTGGAATAAGAGCTGATTAATAACAGAACAAAAAGTCTCAGGTGTGCTTCCTTTCCTACCTTCCCTGGAGTCATTTAAACATATCAATCTGTCACGGTAAGACAGGGGTGAGGAACTACGACCCCTTTATGACTTGTGGATTTCAACTTCAACTCCCAGAATGGCTAGCTGGCTGGCTGAGGAATTCTGGGAGTTGAAGTCCACAAGTCATAAAAGGACCATAGATCCCCACCCCTGCTGTAGGAGAAGAAGAGGCAGAACCTGGGGTAGGAGTCAAGAGAGGAATCAGCCTGGAATCGTTACGTTGTCATAAATGGTCTAAGTCCAACTCTTCTTGAACTCTGTTGACTCTTATCTTGTGCCAATTTAATGCTGACTGTTAGTTGAGTATATTCTTGTCTACAGGCATGAGCAATAAATCAGCTTAACTGGAATTTCAAGGGTGGTCCTAATTCCTCATGCCTCACTTACATTCAGAGAGGTGACCATCAAGATCCTTTTCTTTGACCTAATCCGATGGCTCCAATTTAAACTAGATTTAATTCCGTGAGAGAATTCTATAGAATTATAGTCTATTAAAAAAAAAATGAGCCGAGCTAGGTGGCAGCATCTAACCAAATTTGCCTGATCGAAAAAAAGCTAAACAGGCTTAAAACTGGTTAGTACTTGAACAGCAAATTATAGGATAGTCACTTGGGCTGGGAAAAGACTCAAAAAAATCTACATTTTCATTGTAGAAACTGTGTGGGATCCTTAGCAGTTCCAGCTTAACTTGAAGTAGATTTTACCTTTATACCTAGGTGTGCTATTTAGATACATATTTTCTCATATTGCACAAAAACACATGTATGTACATGCACGCAGGGGATAAAAATGTGGTGTTGCGTCTAATGGGAATCTATTAAAAGCACTGATTTTTGAATCGCAGGTTTCAACAAGACCGGAAGCCTCACCTCTATTCCCAAAGTTTTCAGCTGGTCTTCCCAAGAATTCATGACGAAAGGGGCAGAACCACGGGACTTGTGAGCTGTCATCACCACAAGCACCTGTCCATTTAGAAAGTCTGCAGTGCAACAGTTGGGAAAATTAATTGTTCAGCGTTGGCATGTTAAACCACAGTCAGTCAATTGCACAATTCACAGTATGTGAATCACGGTTTACAAATATCTGTGGAGATTCTCAGTCTTCCAGGTCATGGTGTTGTTGTTTTTTTTCCAAAAGGCAACTGGACTTTTTTCTTGAAAACATTTCGCTTCTTCAGTTCTGAACTGATAAGTGAATCATCATCATCATCATCATCATCATCATCATCATCATCATCTTCTTCTTCTTCTTCTTCTTCTTCTTCTTCTTCTTCTTCTTCTTCTTCTTCTTCTTCTTCTTCCTTCTTCTTCTCCTCCTCCTCCTCTTCTTTCTCCTCCTCCTCCTCCTCCTCTTCCTCCTCCTCCAACTCCTCCTCCTCCTCCTTCTTCCTCAAGGAAAAAACAGTCCAGTTGCCTTATGAAAAAGCACCTTTGAGACAACCATGACCTGGATGACTGAGAATCTCCATTGACACTCCTAAAGAGTCTTCAAAATCATGCTATGCTCCTTTCTCAAAAAATCTGAGGAGATCAGGGGATATGGATGTTATGCCACAAGTTCTTGAATAAAGACCCATTGTTTCTTGTCCCACCAGAACGTCCCAAATCCATCAGTGGTGACAGAAAATCCACTCAATCAGTCTGAGTCATCTACGGTTGACCCAAAGGTGCTTTTTCAAGAGGCAACTGGACTTCCTTGTTTTTTCCTTGAAGATGTTTCGCTTCTCATCCAAGAAGCTTCTACAGTTCTGACTGAATGGTGGGGAATGGAAGGATTCAGTCAGAACTGAAGAAGCTTCTTGGATAAGAAGCAAAACATCTTCAAGGAAAAACAAAGAAAATCCAGTTACCTCTTGAAAAAAGCACCTTCGGGAGATGGTTTGCAAAGCGTGACACCTGGGTTCACACAACACCCTAAGGCCCAAACCCAAGCACGTCACATTTGCGCTTGGCGCAATAGGTTGATCAAGATAATTCTGGCTTATCGAGTAAGCTGGGGCTTAGCGCGATGGGCAACCCGGCCAACGCAACTGTTTCCCGTGTGCCAAATAGAAGCTTAATTTGAAACGTCTTCACAGCACTGGCATTCTAAATTACCTATTTCTATGTCTCATGTGACCGTCAATTTCCATTAACATTAAGATTTCCAGATGCATTTTCAGCACGACACATTTGGAAAAAAAAAAAAGACTTAATGGATAAAATTTGGAAGACAGAACAGCCACGCATTCAGCTTCGCGTGGTTCATTAAGTTATGCATTTTGGGAAATATCACTAACGGTGCACAGAAGAAAGTGTGCATTGCGCACATCCGTAAATCTCCAGGAAATGTTTGTGAAGAATATTTCCAACTGCATTGGGGAAAAGGATGAGCAGATCAAAGATGCATTTGCTAATATACGTTTAAGAGGAGTACAACCAAAGCACACAAAAGGATGATTTTCATCAAAGGCATTACAAGTTTCTGTACATAAAAGCTGCTATCCATTCATAGAGAAGATTAAATTAAATAAGTCAAAGAAAAGCCCCAAACAAGTCAAAATTATTTGGGCTACCACCACGTTTTCTGCTACTGCTGACCAATGTTGTCAAATCACTGATTTTACCATTTCTCCTGAAATCAGCGTGCTCCTTTCCTTTACTCCAACAATAAGTGATGCTAAATGGTCCTCCTTCTCCTCCTCCTCCTTCTTCTTCACCGTCTTTGGTTTGGTTTCCACCACAAACCATGTTGAATCGGTGTTCCACTGTGCAAATCACCCAACAAGAACTTCAGCTATCAATGTCTGGTCTTTTCTCCTCTCCGTTTTCTGGGCAAGGAAAAAAAAACACTTCATCAGCTCATTTCCTCCACGTAGGGTCCAAGAGAAGATAAGACTATTGCAGGTAAAGATCAAAAGGTCAGCAGATGACCCTCCGAAGTCCAGCAAGCTTCATCCCTGACTTCTTCTGGCGTGCTCCAGTTCTTTCTTTCACTCCTGACACTATTGAGCCATTCTCTGAAGCAATAGCTACCTTCTCACCCATCAGCTGGGTGGGGCTACACACCTCCGAGCTGCACAAAACAGGTCCTACAAACCAGCTCTGGAAAATTTCAAATTTCTTTCCCCATAGAACTGTGGGTTTGTTTGGGGGTTGTTGTTTTTTGTCTTCTGCTTTGAGAAGTTGGGTTCTAGCAGTTCTCCCCAGCTCTGCCAACTTGTATTCGCTTTTTCTATTGAAACATACATGCACAAAAGGCTTAGTTGTTAGAATGAAAAGATGAAGAACCTAGAAAGGATTGGCTTTCCTGGATTGGCCGCGGCTGCTTTTGCGTCTCAGGAAAAATCCACGAGCACGTCCCCAAACTCCACAAAGACAGAATAGAGATTGCTCTCGTCCACGGTTCCACCCCTGCAGGTAGTGTCACCGGGAATGATCAAGGTAAAAGACCTCTTTCCAGTGGTCACCAAGGCTCCAGGTTGACATGTCCAACGAATGTGGACAAAATATGGATTCCCAGAATAATAAGGGGATTTCTTTTAAGGAAAAAAAAATGGAAGCAGCATCCATCAAATGGGAGTTAACTGCATTGGTCATATTGTTTTGCTTCAACCCCTCCTTAGAATTCAGCTGTTGCAAAACTCTGGAATCACTTACAATCAGGAACGGAGGAAGTTGTTTGCTTCACATGACTCAGATTTTAAGATTACTCAGTCAGATTGCACAGGAAGAAGGAGAAGGATTGGGCCATCCTTTCCCCATAATATGCATTCATATCAGGCTGTCAAAACAAGGCTCAAATCATTGTTATTCAACCGATTTTACAAATTCCCAGGGTCTGTGCTTGTGGAACAACCCATACACCTAGTCACGCTCCTGGTTGTGTGTGTGTGTGTTTTTTTTAAATTTTACTTCACAAAGTCAAAAAGAAGGCTTGTAAAGCACGCAGAGGAACTGAATCCCGAAATCCATCATAGAAAAGCAGACATCTGTGAAACTGAACAAAATTAATAACTTAAAAAGAGTGGGGTATGAAGAAGAAAAAGGACTTACAAGCCTAGTTGTGGATCTCAAGGGGCTCCTTTGTAAATCTCCACTGCCTTTTTTAGCAGCACAAAAAGCTGTAGCTTAGCATGACTTCTTTCCCTAAAAAAATGCAGTCTCTCCTTCTCGCACAGAGGGAGGATATATTAGGGGGAAGTGAACATGCGAGCTTCAACATCATTCGTTAAAAGCACTTCTGAACTGCAGATTGAATGTTTTTCCTTCTCGTTCTGCCTCTTTTTGTCTTTTTTTTTTTTTTTTGCTGTTCTGGCAATTGCAAAAGAATGCAGTCATGTGCCTGCTTGGTATGCTTCCCCCCCCCCTGCATTTCCTGCAACAGAGTATTGAAAACAGGCCGCAAATAAGTTTAGACTCTCACAGCTGGAAGGCAAGACTCCCGACACATCTGGCTACAGGCTGGCGGCGAGGACGTTCAGCCTAGCTGCTCTGCCCTTCGTCTCCTCCAAAACTGCTTGTAAACATCGCAGCAAGGCGTAATCAATAATCCATGCGGAGCACATTCCATGTCCAACCAGATGATCATCATCAAACCTTTCTCCTGAGAAGTCCTTCAGTCCTTTATAGTCCTCCGTTATTGCAGTGTTTAATGTAGCGGAGAGGAGAGACGTCTTAACTTGTACTTCATTTGAAGCTATATTTAAATGAAATGAAATCAGCCTGGCGTCCAGCTCCCACTTACTTTCTCTCCTCCACCAAGGGTAGCCCATAAAACATTGGATTATCGTGTGGTGAACACAGCTAAGAACCAGTGGTTCTCAACCTGTGGGTCAGGACCCCATTTGGGGTCGATCGACCATTTCACGGGGGTCGCCAAGCAAGGCTGTCCGCCATTTTTTTTGCCCATTTTTTCCCCTTTTCCGGCGGGTGCCTTACCTCCCTTGGGCTGGGCCAGCTGGTGGTCAGCCTGCTCCGTCTCTGCCGCTTGCCAGCTACGCCTCGGCCAGCGCAGGGGGCGGAACCACGCATGCGCGGCGCTCCCGGGCAGGGAAAGTCCTCGACTTACGACCGGTTGGGTAGTCCTCGACTTATGACCGGTTTAGTCCTCGACTTACGACCGGTTGGGGTCGCGGCATTAAAAAGGTTGAGAACCACTGGCTAATACCCCTAGTCCATTAGGACAATGTGCTTTTCGTACTAAAATGACCGCCACAAACTGGCCCGTGGCAAGAAAAAAATAATAAGATTAAAATTAGGGGCAATTGCCAAGAAAGTTTGAAAGGAGCAGCGGCATAAGCACCGATCGTTTCCTTGAAGTCCACTCAATATCCACAAACACTGTAGAAACGGGTAGGATTCTGGACAATTTGATGATTAGGAGGTTTGATGGAGGCTGTGTCTAAGAAGGTGGCTTTTTTTCCCTCCCATTTCCCCCCAGACATCTTGAATTCATGGGGAACAGTACATTGAAACAGCATCACGCAGAAAAAAAACAGGAGAGTGCAATTTTTATATACCCGCGAGTGAATACAGCTTAATAAGTATAATTGCGTTCCTTGTTTTTCGTACGATGCTATTCTTGTTACGTTTCCTTCACATGTTGCTCAGTTGGAAAGAAAAAGGTGCATTTCCTTGTGATTAAAATGTAAGAGGAAGTGACGAAGGGGCAGAAACATTTATTTGAAAAAAAAATGTAATCAACTCCACAGGTTCTGAAATGTAGCTGTTAATATTAATCCAGATCTTGCTCTCCACTCCGTTGTTGGGGCAAGCGAACCCAGTTTAAAATCCATGAAAGTATTTTCTCCATTTGGCAGCTCAGTCCAAAGGGTAAGATTTAGGAAGCACCTTGTTATCTTTCTTTATTTTATTTTTTTTGAAAAGCATCCTATTCCTGTCTTCCTTAAAACACTGTGTTGAACCACAAGACTGCCAGATTTCGTAAGCTGTTGGCCAAGGATGTTTTTATGCAGCTAGTTAGTTTTGCAAAGAGCGAAGTTCAGCTAAATATATTTCTTAAAAGCACCACCATTAATATCAAGAAGTACAAAGAGTATGAAGCGTGGAGCATTTATACCGTTTTCACTTGTTCTGTTCCAGAAAAAAAACAAAAACACATTCTTGAGCTGGTTTTCACTGGAAGGCTTATGAGGTCTTGCTTAATCTTTGAATTCATTCATAAATGAACCGTGACAGGCAGAATGTTGCAAAACTTCAAATTCGTGACTCACTTTCAGAAGTCCAAGTAGCAGCTGCTTATTATCTTGTGCGCATTCACTCACTCTCAAAACACAACTTCCTTCATTACCACCATCCCCGCCAGCAGGAGTGAGCCTCTGTGTTCTGGCAAAGGGAGAATCTGTCAGCAGGAGTGCTGATTTAACGCCAGCTTATCGCATACTTAGGAAGCACAGGGCTTGGCAGGACTCAGCGCCAACACCACTGCAATCAACAACTAAAAAGCCACCCACATAAATATCACACACAGAATAGCCCCGAAGCGCACATTCTGCTAGAGAGAAGTTCCCTGACAATGGGATCCAGCAAGAGTCCAAAAGCTTGGAAGATGAAACCTCTGAACTCAGTGACTGACCCAGATTGGATCCTGCAACATTGTCCTGGGACACGTAGATTCACCTTCATTCGAGATAGATGATAGATAGATGATAGATAGATGATAGATAGATAGATAGATAGATAGATAGATAGATAGATAGATAGATAGATAGATAGATAGATAGATAGATAGATAGATGCAAATGAGAGAGATTAGATGAGATAGACAGATTAGATAAATAGATATATAGAGGACAGGTAATTAAATGATAAAAAGATAGATAGATAGATAGATAGATAGATAGATAGATAGATAGATAGATAGACAGACAGACAGACAGACAGACAGACAGACAGACGGACAGTTACAGAGTGGTGGATGGATACAGTGGTGGACATATGGATGGTTGATGGATGGATGGATGGATGGACGGACGGACGGACAGACGGTTACAGTAGTGGACATATGGATGGCTGATAGATAGATATGGACAGACAGATGGACGGATGGTTAGAGTGGTGGACATATGCATGGCTGATTGATTGATGCAAATGAGAGATTAGATGAGATAGACAGATTAGATAAATATAGAGGGCAGGTAATTAAATGAGATATTTATTTATTTATTTAATCCCATTTATACCCCGCCCTTCTCCCGAGGGACTCAGGGCGGCTTACAGGTAAATAAAAACAGTACAATACAATAGATATCTCTAAAAGCCAAATTAAAATATATATTAAATGACCTGTATTAAGTTTAATATTATAAAATCCCTTTAAAATCCCTATAAAATCCCCCCCTAGGCCAATCCCGCTTGATGAAAAAGCCATGTCTTGAGGGCACGGCGGAAGGAGGGGAGATCCGGAATAATCCGGATCTCTGGGGGGAGTTCGTTCCACAGGGTG